CAAACTATATCACCTTGATTATGCATGCAACCTGTCCACATGGCTAGCTCAAGCTTCCATACATGGCAGTTGGGTTTTAAGAGATTGTGAATGAAAGCTGCAAGCTTTCTCAAGGGCATCTTTAGAAATTACAAATCATCTAGACTACTCGTCCAGGCATGTCACAAGGCCAGATCATATTTAACAGGGTTCAACATTACAAAGGGTACAGAAATAACCTCCTAGTAGGAAAACAGTCAGTGTTACATTGCATAAAAGGATAAAAGAAATTTGTGGCCATATTTTGAAATCAGCCACACTTGAGAAGGGACATTTCTTTAGCATCTTACTTAAATTCTTGTGGACTTTGTGCCAATAAAAATAATGATCATTTATGCTATACTAAAGCATGCTTTAAAAAAAGAAAACCTCCCAAATTTTCCCTCCCTTTATGCCCAGGAAACTTCCATTCTACTCTCTGCTTTCATGAGTTTGACTATTTTAGATTTCTCACATAAGCGGTATCTTACAGTATTTATCTTTCCTTATCTGGCTTATTTCACTCAGTGTATTGTCCTCCAGTTGAATCCATATTGTTACAAATTGCAGGATTTTTTTTAAGGCTGAAAACTGTTTCATTGTATGGATATGCCATATTTTCATTAGCTGTTCATCTGTCAATGGACATTTAATCTCCAATGTCTTGGTTATTATGAGTAATGGTATAATGAACAAGGGAACGCAGGTCTTTTTTGGAGATTCTTATTTCAGTTCCATAGGTATATACTCAGAAGTGAGATTGCTGGATCATGTAAGAGTTTTATTTTTTTTATTTTTTGGAGGGAACTTCTATACCATTTCCATAGTGACCACACCAATTTATATTCCCACCAACAATGTACAAGGGTTCTGATTTTTCAACATTCTTGGCAACATAAGCGATCTTTGTCTTCTTCATAATAAGCCTTGTAACAGGGATTCATTAATACCTAATTGTGGGCCGGGCGCGGTGGCTCACGCCTGTAATCTCAGCACTTTGGGAGGCCAAGGTGGGTGGATCAGGAGGTCGAGAGATCGAGACCATCCTGGTCAACATGGTGAAACCCCGTCTCTACTAAAAATACAAAAAAATTAGCTGGGCACAGTGGTGCGTGCCTGTAATCCCAGCTACTCAGGAGGCTGAGGCAGGAGAATTGCCTGAACCCAGGAGGCGGAGGTTGCAGTGAGCCGAGATCATGCCATTGCACTCCAGCCTGGGTAACAAGAGCAAAACTCCATCTCAAAAAAAAAAAAAAAAAAAAATATATATATATATATATATATATATATATATATATATATATATAAAATTGTGTTTTCAATTTGCATTTCTCTGATGACTAGTGATGTTGAGCAACTTTTCATATACCTGATGCTGTTGGCCATTTTTATGTCTTTTTTGGAGAGATCAAGTCATTTGTTTAAACTGTTTAAAAAATCAGGTTATTTGTTTTTTTTGCTATGGAGTGTATTACCTTGTTGTAGACTTTTGGATATTAACTCTTTATCAGACATATGATTTGCAATTAGTTTCTCCCATTCTGTAGGTTGCTTCCTTTGCTGTGCAGAGGCTTTTTGGTTTGACATAATCACACTTGCTTATTTTTGCTTTTTTTTTTTCACCTGTGCTTTTGGGGTCATACGCAAGAAATCATTGCCAAAGTCAGTGTCAAGAAGCATTTTTTTCTACATTTTCTTCTAGGAGTTTTATAATGTCAGGTCTTAGATTTATGTTTTTAGTCCACTTTATGTTTTTGGTGACTTTTGTACCTGGTGTAAGGATTCAATTTCATTTGTTCTTTGGCATGTGCATGTCCAGCTTTTCCAGTGCTATTTATTAAAGAGACTGTCCTTTTCTCATTGTATATTATTGCCACCTTCCTCAAAGATAAATTAACTGTATATACATGGGTCTATTTCCAGGCTCTTTATTTTGATGAATTGGTCTAGCATGCTGTTTCAATTATTGTAGCTTTGTAATATATTCTGAAGTCAGAAAATATGATGCCTCCAGGTTTATTCTTCTTGCTCAAAATTTATTTGGCCATTTCTTTCTTGGTTCCAGGTGTATTTTAGGATTCTTTCTAATATTTCTGTAAAAAATATCTTTGGGACATTGATGGGAATTTCTTAGAATCTGTAGATTGCTTTAATAATATGAACATTTAATTTAACAATATTAATTAATGTATTTTTCTAGTTTTCAGAGTTATTTAATATTCAATTGCTTTTCCTTTGATTCTCATGGCACCATCTCATATAAGTGACTTAGGGAAAGTTGTTTTATAACTTTTGAGCTATAAATTCCTCATTCGTTAAGTGGAGGACATTCTTGCCTTATCTATATCTTTGGGCTGTTGAAAATCTAATGGGATAATAAAGGAATGATTAGCAGTGCCTGATACAATGATATTTCAGTCACTTCTTTACATCAAGCATCAAGAAAGGGAGTTCTATGTGATCATATTTCCTGAACACTAAAATGTTACAAAAGATTTATGAATGACTTCTGTATATGAATCATAGATATGGTTTAGATTTTGAAATGCTTAATTTTCTGAATATTGCATTGGTTTATTAGATAAAAGAATTGATATCTGAAGCTAAGATTGTTGCAGAAAGTCTAATTGGTTTGATTACAATGCCATGGCAGAAGGGCTCCACTCTATTCCATGTCAACTGAAATCAAACAACATGAAACACATGGTATTTAAACTTTAGTGCCCTGGGGGATTGGGAGGGGAGAAAACCTTTATAACATCCCTCTACAGTTTGTATACCCACCCATTTACTATTCTTCATGGTAACATACTTTAAAGAATCTTTAAGTTCTTTAGTTTCAGAAACAGGAAGGAATGATGGAGGAGAATTATCATTTATTCTGCACCTCTTCTGTCCCCAGCATTGTTTGTAGGATGGCTCGCTAAATCTCAGTGAAGGTGTTATGAAGGAGGATACATAAGGTCACTGACACTTGTTGCAAGGCTCAGTTAGTGTCAGATTACAGATTCAAATTCAGGTCTTCTAAAACCAAAGCCCTATATACAATGCTGTATTGCCAAAAAAGAAGGGTCTTCGAGACATAACCCTCTTATAGAAAAGATATACCATTTGTTATCCTCTTGTAGAAAAGAAATCCCAGGAGACTGAGTATGAAATTATTAGTTATTGAGGAGAAGGAATCATGCTGAATCCTTTGGGATCTGTGTGAAGAACAAGAGAGGTGCTCAGCAACCCAGTCTGAGCTGTAGAGGCTGACTTAGGAGCAGAGAAAATAATCAAAGGACCCTTCCATTCCTTAGAACCACCAGTGGTTACACGGTATCTGAAACTTTCTCTTTCTTCTTTCTGCATTTAGAGAAGCAAAAGAGAAAAACGTTTTGAACAGAGAGCTTCTCTACTTCTATGGACGACATACATATTTCACTTTTTAAAAGCTGCCGACAAACAGCAAGATTCATTTTAGCACTGGCATACCATAAATTTATTTGCTTGTTAATGCAGCTTCCTCAGTTCAAGTTTTTACTAACTAGCAATATCAAGATGTCAGTCTGTCCTCAGATGTGTATCAACCTCACCTGGTAACAAGGTGAGAGTATGGCCTGCTCAAGAGCATGTGCTGTCTCAAGAATGGAGACACATTGGAATATTAATATTAGAGATTTCTACAGCAAAATATAAGCGTTCCAGAATATAAGAGTTGTAGAATCATAGGCTGATAGACAATTAGTGGAAGATAAAACTTTAGGGTTTATCTTATGTTTTGCCTTTATTTTGGTTAAGCCTCCTTTTATATCCTACTGATATGGAAGACAGATGGATTTGAAGTCCAATATTATGTTAACATAATGAGCATTTCCAGCCCACTGGAAGGCAGAAAGAGGAGAACCTGGTAGAGTGGCATAATTCAATTTGGCATTGAGAGGCTCTAGATGCAAACGAAGTCATAGATATTGGCATGATCTCACTATTACACTGTAGCAGGGGTTTTTGTTTGTTAAGTATGTGTTTTTCTAGCTCTTTCTTATTTTGGCTGAATGCCATTGCTTTTCCGTTGGAGAATGATCCCTCTCCAAGTCCCTGACTATGTTTTCTAGTGGGGCCTATCCAATTCCCAGTTATCAGCCTGACAATTGGCTTATTCCACCGATTCATGAATAAGCTTATCACACCAGTTAAGTAAAAGTGAACAATGGACTTGGCTAAAACATATAGGAAAAAAGGTGCTTTCTTTTCCTTGCAGTTGCTGATCTAGTAAGATGGGTAACCTGATATGGTAGTAACCTGGCCATGTTGTAATAAGAGGCTTGCTGAGAAAAAGCTATCAGAAAGAGAAACAGAACCAAGATGCTGAGAGACAAAGGCACGATGAGGTGAAGCTTGGTGTATTCCTCCTTCCTCAGACCCTGTAGTGAGGCAAGGCAGTGTGGTAGTAAGTTCAGGCTAGGCCTTTGTAAGTGGTAACCCCCAAATGAGTTGATGAGATACACATCTTAAAAAGAGGGGGCTAAAAGTTAAATAAGCAATTACCATGTCACCCAGTCATTAGAATTTTAAGTATTACTCAATGGAAATGAAGCATATGTCCAAAGACTTCTATGCAAGTATTCATAACTCCTTTATGCATAACAACCAAAAGCTAGAAATCAATGTATATCAGGAGATAAATGGATTAAAATGCTTTTAAAAGTAAAATAAAATACTACTCAGCAATTTAGAGGAATAAATCATTGATACACACATGAGTGAAACTTAAAATAACTATGCTGAGTAAAACAACAAAAAAGAAGAGTTAAGATTCCATTTATAAAAACTGGAAAATGCAAACTAAGTAATAGAAAAAGCTCACTGCTTGTCTGAGGACAGAGGTAAGGGAAATGTTTGAGTTAGGGAGAAATAACAAAGAGATATTAAATTTTTGCAGGTGTTAGATATATTTTTTAAAATTATTATTGTTTGAGACAGTCTCGCTCTGTCGCCAGGTACCAGGCTGGAGTGCGATGGCACGATCTCGGCTCACTGCAACCTCTGCCTCCAGTGTTCAAGCAATTCTCCTGCCTCAGCCTCCAGAGTAACTGGGACTACAGGTGTGTGACACCACATCCAGCTAATTTTTGTATTTTAGTAGAGAGGGGGTTTCACCATGTTGGCCAGGCTGGTCTTGATCTTTTAACCTTGTGATCCACCCACCTCAGCCTTTCAAAGAGCTGGGGTTATAGGTGTGAGCCACCGCGCCCAGCTGATATGTTTATTTTCTTGATTGTAGTGATTGTGATTGTGATGATACATGTGACAGAATTTGCATGCGTATCAAATTGTATAATTTAAATATGTTTAGTTTATTATATGTCAATTAGGCTGCAATAAAACTGTTAAATATAAGGAAATTACAGCCTGTGTTGGCCTGAGTACCCTAGTAGAGCAAAGAACCTCTTCCACCAAGAGCTTACACTTATCCATATGAGTCTTGCCACAATACTGTCACATAGCAAATCATCTCAAAATTCAGTCATTTAAACATTGACCATTTATTATCAAATGTACTGGTCTGTGGACTGAGTGCATCTTGGCTGGGTTAGGCTCGACTCCAGGATCCAGGCTGCAGGTTAGGTTCAGATCTGTTCCAGGTATCTCTTATTCTTAGAGCAGTAGCCTCAAAGGAATTGAGTTCTGCCCTATGTTTGCCAATCTGGGGCCAGGGAGATAGGCAATAGCTATCTACACAATTTTATTTTCATGGTGTCACAAAAGTGCCAAACTGAATCACCATGTGTTTGGCCTCTGCTCATGTGATGCCTGCCAATGTTTGATTGGCCAAAGCTAGTCATAATGAAGCCCAGATTTAATGGGGTAAAGAATAGACTCAATCATAGTGGGAGGGAAAGGGAAGTGAAATATTTGTTGAACAATAACTTAAACTATCACCAATGTGTATCATAAACCAAAAAGCAAATCTTTGAATGTTAGATATTTGTGGGTTCTTTATTACAACTGAGATATGAGAGACATGGAAATGCCAAATATTTGGAATATTTGGGGACTATATTACAACACGTGAATTATTTCCTATCCTGAAGATAATATCAGATGTACATGAGAATCTAGTGGTCTCAGAAAGTTTGTCAGGTGAAAAAAAATTATTTACTTAACCCCATTTGTGTTAAGTTTCTGTTACTTGAACTAAAGTTGTCCTTATTAACGTAATTGTGGGAGGCTGTAATAATCAAAGAGCAGAGTCCAGCAAAACAAATAATTTCTGTCGTTAGTTGAGCAACTACTATTTACCAGTCACTTCACGTTAGTTATTTCAGTTAAGTCTTGTGACCAAGATGCTAGGTTGGTATTATATACTATTCTCTTAGCGAGGGAACTGAAATGCCATGTCTCAAGAAAAAGAGTTGAGAAGCAAAGCCAAATCCGTTGAAACCAAGACCTATTCCCCTTCCAGTTTACCATGGTTTGCTCAGGAGACAAGCAACAAAACATGGCACCAGAGGCATTTATGATCTTTCTCTGGGTCCAGGCAAAGCTGCAGCTAATTTCTTTCTGAGAGATCACCATCTATTTAATGTTTTCATAAGTATTCTCCTCCCATCTTCCTAGATTGCTATTACCAATGCTTAACTTCACTTAGACCTGAAACTTGTTTTTCGGTCTAAGCAATACGGTGCATATAGGAAAAGCCATGGATGTGCTGTCCAGAAGTGTGGCTTGGAATTGCTGATCTTCCATTTAGTGCTTTGAGACCACTGAAAATCCACATAAACATTTAATGCCTCAGTTTCTTCCTTTACAAAATGGAAAAAAGGGTATCTCCAGTTAACCTGATTTGACAGTTAAATATGACAAACTGAAAAGAAGTTTATAAAGTGTTTTAGAATGTTATATAGGATTAATGTAATCATCATGATTAAAGTTACTAATAATGATTGAGAGGGACTCACCTCCATCAGTAGAATTGTAGTTATTATAACAGGTAGACACAGGGAAATTTATGGCTAGAGGAAGGTATTCTTGCCAAATGGCTCTTAATCTAGACCACATAGTCAGAAGCTGCCTATGTCTTTACATATGACAGTAACTACTGCTACATCAAGAAGACCCTATGCTATATCTATCTCTACGGTCTCTAATTACCCGGGGCTTTCTCCAGCAATCAGCAGCCCACTCAGTGACCATCAAAAGATCTTCCTATACTGGCTATAAGGTTTCTTTCTTCCCTCTAAGAAGTCTTTATTAACTCCTCTGCCTCTGCTGGGTTCTGGAAGCCAGGTAGGTGATTAATGACCTCTGAATTATGATCCAACCGGAAAGGCTGTTGGTGGAAATTTATACTCAGTGTGGTAAGCTAGAATTCTTTCAAGCCAGGTACTCGACATTCATTGCACAATTTAATTGTAAAGAATAGTAGTTAATGAGAGCACAGGGGAAGAGGGTAAAATAGGAGCAGAGAATCTGGGCTGAAGGCCAGTGCTCTCAGCAGTGAAGTTACATCTGGGATGGATGAATCATGGAGTAGACAAATTGTAGCATTGGAACAGGGTTTTCATCACCATTATATTTTATCAGGAAGGAAACTAAGACACATAGAGAGTAATGAGGAAGCATGGTCTTGATAGTAACTATGATGATAAAAACAACTCCCTTTAGTTTTTAGTACCTTCTATAAATCAAGCTCTAGGTAGGAAACTTGACAAGCACCAAAGCTAATCTCAAAAGCAATATTGTGAAGTTAGACATTATTGTCAATATTTCACAGATTAGAAAAATTGAAGTTTAGCAAGATCAAATGACTTGTCCAAAATCATGAAGCATCTTGATTCTGGGTATAAACAGGGTCTTTCTGAACTTACAAAATTTTGCTCCTTTCGGTATGTCACTTACATTGCTTCTACCATCACTCTTTACTGCTACAGCAATGCAAAGTTAACTGTATGCCAGGCACTTACTGTGTATACATCTTCTCAGTGTTATCTCCATTTACCAATGAGGAAGCTGAGATTTGGTTTGGAGAATGTGCCCAAAGCCCTGTGGCAAGCAAGAGTCCGAATGGAATTTAAAATCAGGTCCTTCTGACTCCAGGGATAATTATCTTAGCCACTACCATACCTGGCTACAGCTCATACCAATAACCAACACTGTCACCAGAATAGCCAGTGCTATGATTCAAACTCCATTTTTAATGATAAACTTCCTGATGCGGTGAGAAAAGCTAGTCATTTTGAAGGTGAGATGAGATGAGATGGGGAGCAGAACATAAAGTGTGTGCATTTTTCTGTTACTACTGCACCAATATACTCAATCCAGTGGTATAAAGGAGACCCGATTTTAATAATTGACTATGACATTTATCAACCTATTTATCACCCTATAGAATCAGCAGGGATCAAAGTTAAGGAGTCAGCCACTTCCTACGCTAGAAGAATCTTGGTGCTTAAAGAAACTACATTGTCCTTTCAGCTGATTGGAAAATTGGATGAGCCAGGCTGCCAAGATGCATGCAAACCTCTGAGCCCTGCTAAATGTCCCTAAGTAAATAAATTACAAAAATAAAGTATCTTTTTTACGTGCATGTAAAAACAAGCAAATGAAAGCCTTTTGCATAATTGCTGCAAAGGGCCCCAACCAGCCATTTCCATTTGCAATTTCATATTTCAATAAAGTTTTATTTATTTTCATTTCCAAATGAATTTGTTCCCTGTGAAAAGAAGTCTTGTCACTCTGACTGGTACCAGGTGGTTGGGAGGAGCCTCCACTCTCAACATTGGCCTTTTGGCTGAGCAGATGACCTCTGAGCTTGTCTGCTTGTCCTCCTTTGCCCAGCTGCCTCTGCCTGGTTTTAATATATCTATGATTTTTAAAATTCTGTGCAATTGCCAAATTGCCTTATTTTCTAAATAGAAAATAAAAAAGTGCTGGCATTCATCCATTTAATACAGATGTATTAAATACCTACTGTGTGCCAGAAAATGTTCTAAACACCAGAGATACAGCACTAACAAACATATTAGGTCCTTTTTGCATACCTAAGGCTAGATAGTTTATCAAGAAAAGAAGCTCAATTGGCTTATGGTTTTGTGGCCTGTACAGGCAGCATGGCATTGGCCTCTACTTCTGGCAAGGTCTTAGGAATCTTCTGATCATGGTGGAAGGTGAAGGGGGAGTAGGCACATCACATGGTGAGATGCTGCAGGGAGGTGCCACACATTTAAAAACAGCTAAATCTCACATGAATGAACTGAGCAGGAACTCACTTATCACAAGGGGTGACAGTCTTGTTACTATAGCATTCATGAAGGATTCACCCCCACGATCTAATTACCTTTCAACAGGCTCCACCTCCAAAATTGGGAATCACATTTCAGCATGAGATTTAGAAGGGACAAACATGGAAACTATAGCAACAAAACAGAACAAAATCTTAGTCTTCATGGAGCAAAAGATCAGACAAAAAAATTGTGTTTGGAGTTGATGTTTGGGTGTGGGGAGGGAAAGTAGTGTTAAAATATTCCACCATAGTGGGTAAAGCATGCCTCGAGGCTCTCATTGTAGGGAGGATGTGTGGCTGGAGTGGTCTGGGCAAGGGGAGTATATTGGGAGATGAGGCTAAGAACGAAGCAGGAGACAGAGATTGGGAGAGAGGGTATGCAAGCTTTAGGAAGTGTAAGAAAGAGCAGATTGCAATGAGAAAAGAAAACCAAAGATTAGTATAGAGTATTTCTTTGGTAGGGAAGAATAAATTCCTTTGGAAAGATATTTGGTTACCAACTGGATTTCTAATTCCTTGTCAATTTTGCATACGTACACTTTCTAGTCTTCAGTATCTTCTTCTAGTATCTGTAGATTATAGTGGGAATGGTGGCAATTGATGCAACCCTGGATTCTTGAATGTTGAAATTCTCTCTTGACCCAGCCAATGCCCATGAGAGCACTAAGAAAAGCATATTTTCACAGGGGACAGACAGAGAAGAAACAGAGTACTTTCATCATATTCTTTATTCAAAACTCCAGAATGATTATATCGTAAGCTAAACTGGGCCATGTGGTTGACTACTCTTGCCCTTACCAATGAATCACCACTGTGATGAGAAAAGCCATGTCCAAAGAGAAACTCAAAGAAAGATACATCAGAAGTAAAGGACTTTCTCCGTAAGTTTAGCTGATCTAATTTGTCGACATATGGTATTTCCTTGGCTCTGCCTAGCTTCAAGTTTGGTGAAGGTTGGGAAATTTTAATATATCATTTTTAAGGAAAGCTTTTAAAAAGGGAAAAAAATATAGGGAAGGTTAGGAAAAGAGAGAGAGAGAGAGAGAGAGAAAGCTAGAGAGAGAGAGATTGCTTCTAAAGAAAAATAACAACCCTGAAAGGATGAAGTTAGTAACAACCCCTTTGGAAGAGTTTCAGATTTATATTACACTTTGGAGTAACTTCTCTTTTTGGGAAACCTTGTAGGTTCTGGTCAAATCAGAAGAGTAGAGAAGTTTCAAAAGTTAGAATTCATGTTATTAAGGCAAGTGCAAACTAGTGTAAATTATTAGAACTATTACAAAATTCTTATTTTCACTTCAAATTTGTAGTTCAACCCATTGGAAAAAAATAATTTATCTTAGCGTCACCATAGATGAGATCAAGTAAAATATCCTTAGAAGTACTCTCATTGGCCAAATGTATTAACTGCTTAAATGAGATAAAATACACTTTCAGTGAGCCCCAGAGCCCCAGATCTATGAAATTCTGGAAGGGACATTGAGTGACAATCTCACTGAGTCCCTGCCTCCATTATAGAGGTGAATACTTTTGTGACCACATAAAAAGTGAGCTAAACCCAGATGCTTTACATTCCCTGGTCAGCATTGTTTTTTCAACCCTTGTTCCAAGAAAGCCTAGGACAGAAGGTATGAGGCATCATGTTTGGAATTCTTCCAAATGGTTAGGAGCTTGTCCCAAGCAACCCCTATATGGAATTGCTTACCTAGTGATAAATAGTGTCACTAGAGTTTATGGCACTTACTGTCTGGTGCTTATGAAGAAGGACAGTGATTTATGGCTATGTTACAAGTCTGGATTGGGCAGAGGAAAAAGGCTGCCTAATGCAAGGCTTAAAGACTGGGCTTTGTCTTGGCTGTGGTCGATAACAGTTATTTCATTATTCTATAACCATCATCTGATTTTCCTCTGACTCATTTCTGTCTTTGCCCACTGCCCTCCTCTGCCTGTCTGCCTGTCTCTCTCTCTCTCTCTCTAGCTTTCTTCTCTCTCTCTCTCTCCAGTTTTCTCTGATCATCTCTCAAAGTTCAACATAATCAGCCTAGCTAGACTTGTGTTAAAGAGAAGATAAAGAAAAAAGAAGGGAAAAGACATTATCTAAGTATCTTTAATGTATGAGGTACTGGGATAAATACTTTCATGCTGGTTTTTCCATTTAAGATGCACAATCATGCTGAGAGGGGTAATTTACCCCCATTTAGAAATGAGAAAACTTGCTTAGAGTTCACAGAGTTGGTAGGTAATAAAGTTGGAATTCAAAATCAGATCCATCTGACTCCAAAGTGTCCTCTTTCCATGCATCCTCATTTACATCACTCTTCTCCATCTGTCCAGTAGATCTTGTTGCTTCTTGTCCTGGGTATACACAACAGCACATTCATTTGATAAACATTGAGCTTCTATTATATGTTAGAATTGAAGAAGCAAAAATATGTAATACAGTTTGTTCACCCTCAAGCAGCTCCCAGCCAGTATATGCATGTGTATTTGGGGCTTAGGGCTGATAAAGAATGCATATTAGTAAGTACATCTTAACACAGGTTGTTCATGTATTTATGGATTCATTCTTTAAACAAATGTTTATTAAATACCCATTCTGTTGCCAGGCATTTTGTTCCAGGGTTTATCAATCCTGGCTGCATAATAAAATAACCTAGTGTACTTTTTAAGAAATACTGATCTTTGGCCCATCTAAGTAATTCTATTTAATTGGCATGGCATGGGGCTCTGGCATCAGTATGTTTTAAAAGGCTCCTAGGCAATGGTAATATGCAGCCAGAGTTGAAAAATACTCTTCTCGGTTCTAGAAGTGAAACAGTGAGCAAACAGGAGAAAAAGTCCTCTAGATATTCATAAGATATGTGTCCCCTTATTCAGATAGAGGATGTGATGGATAAAGGAAGAGAGAGGAAGATGAAGCTGGAAGGCTGGATTGCACATAAATCTTCTTAAGCCTTAAGTTCAAGGCAATTTGGATGATATAAAGCATGGGAATTACAGAAAGACGGAGATAGCTTCACACTCTACTTTTCTGTGATCTGGATTAAGTGGAAGAATCTCTCATCCTAAGAATTTTTAGTTTTTAACAAATTGACTGATGTAGGGCTTTATTCAGTGCTGTGAGTATAGAAATGGGTAAGAAAAGTTCCTGCCTTCAAGGATCTTCCAGTCTAGTGTGTCTGTTAAGGGTAGGGAAAGTAGCGGAAGAGTGCTAGTGTGGCAAGAAGTACTGAGTTGCAGGGGACATGGAGTACTTTCAGAACATTTTCCCTCCCTGACGAGGAGTATATCATGGACACTTCTAGGCACCACCTTAGTAGAGTCTCTATAGGTGACAGGTGATTGAACAGGAAGAGAAGTGAAGGGAGAACCATATAGCAGAGGGAACAGGATTTGCAAAATGCAAAGAGAGAAGAAACTTGGGTTAATCAGATTCTCAAACAGTTCTGTCTGGCTTAAGCACAAAAGTGAGAAAGAAAATGGAGAGGGTCACAGTAAGAGAGGGGAGCAGGAAATAAGCACTGTAGGTCATATCACAGAGTACCTGTTTTTTTTTTTTTTTTTTTAAGCAACATTTTGAAGGAATAGAGAAGAAAGTAACATGTCAGATTTGCATGACAAAGATTCCTCTGGTTGCTTTGTGGATATAATTAGTAAAGGCTTGAAGCCAGGAGGCTAAATGGCAGCAGTGACAGAGGTGATAGGAAAATAAACAACCTCATCAGATGGAGCAGGAGAGTGGAGGGGTTGACAGAGGGGTCAGTGCTGTCTAGAGTCTGGTCTCTCAGGTTTATGGCTCCAGAAACTCTACTTTAACTCTGCACCAAAAGGTAATGGGATTCTGGAGAAAAAAATGGCAGAGGGAATGTGTACACCATGTGAAGGACAAGGAAGTAAAAGGACATGGGCTTTCCCCCTGCCTTCACCATTTTCTAATCGTGCCCTTGAGAGCATGTCACACAGCTGGGCAAATGCCTGTAATCCCAGCGCTTTGGGAGGCTGAGGTGGACAGATCCTGAGGTCAGGAGTTGGAGACCACCCTGGCCAATATAGTGAAACCCTGTCTCTACTAAAAATACAAAATTAGTAGGGCACAGTGGCGCATGCCTGTAATCCCAGCTACACAGAAGGCTTAGGCAAGAGGATCCCTTGAACCTGGGTGGCAGAAGTTGCCGTGAGCTGGGATCGCACCATTGCACTCCAGCCTGGGCAACAAGAGCAAAACTCTGTCTCAAAACAAAACAAAACAAAATAAAACAACAACAACAATTAAAAAAAAACCAAAAAACAGCAGTTCGAGAACATGTTACATTCCTTGCTGATCTTTTGTGTCCTCATCTGTAAACTAGAATCATGATAGCTACATTTATCTCCTTAGAGTTCTAGGTACGATTAAATGAACTGCACTGCATGGAAGCGATTCTTAAACTCGAAAGAATTTTGCAATTGGACATCATTTTCTAAATTCCGTGATCTAATATCAGACTATAAGGGGTAACTGTGGGCCACATAGAGGGTCAGGGCTCTGTCAGACTCCACTTCTAGGAGAGAGTTAAACATTCCTTGTGTGGACTTTTATTGTACAATCAAATCCAAGCTCAAAATATCTTCATAGGCAACATGTTTGTCTCTCCCCAGTTTTGCAGCCACATCAGTTTCTGATTAGACTTACAATTTAAGTGGGGAAGTGACTTTGGAAGAGACATGTGTACTGTCAGCAGATGGGAAGAGGATGGAGAGAGATGGAGGGAGGCCGCTGTAACACCTGTTCTGGTTGGGATTCTGAATGAATATGAAAGGTAAGCAGACACCCAATTAGTAACCCCTGAACTCACTCCATGTTATCTCTGCAAACATACACTCTCTTCCATCCTGTGCTTCCAAAGGATAGCAGGCTTCCTGACAAGCTATTGCAAAGAAGGATGCAAACCCAGAGGAAAGAGAGAATGAAGCACTCTTAGTTTTGTCTGCCTCCTCCAGCACCTCTAACTCAGAATTTTTTTTGTATTAGGCATTTTCTACTTCTGCAAGCATTAAAAAAAGATAATTATTTCTGCTGTGTCCATAGTCTCTTTTCGCTAAGTACCTACTATGTGCCACACAGGCATGCGTTTTAAAGGTTTATTATGTGCTGCTATTTCATTATTCTCATTTTGCGGGTAAGAAAACTGAAGTTCTGGAAGGGGAAATGGCTACCCAGCTATGGAATAAAAGATCAAGGACTTTTTCTGTCTTAAGGCATTCAGTTCTCAAACTAATATGAGAGGTAGGTAGTATTGTTATTCTTTCCATTGTTGATTACTGTTTTGCCTAGCACCCCCATTTGCCTCTCTGCAGTGCCTCCACCTGTGAGAGGAGTATGCTTCTTGATCACAGAAGGCTGACGTGGTGATGCAGAAGGTGAGCAGCAGTGACAGATGTCACTGTTGAGTAGAAGCTTCAAGATTTTGAGTGGGCTTTGTCATATCTCATTTTTCTTTGCTATTAGACTGACAAGGTCTGAGATTGAGTCTGCCCAGTCAGCCTACTTTTCAAAGCAAAGAAAACGCAGAGGAGAGTCATAGCCATACATAGACATATAGATGTGAATTCTGAAATTTGAGATCCATATGTTACACAGTGTAGCCAAACCTGAACTGACTAATGTGCCTGTTGGAGAAGACTGAAGTTAAGGAAAGGTAAATAGGAGCCCAGCTATATATTGGTGAAACTAAAACTAGAAGTCAACGCTGCCCTACTCCAAACTGTGTGATCATCACCATTGTATTACTCTTCCTTTCCAGTTCTCATTCTGAGATTTCTCTGTATTTTATAGTGACAGCTTTAAAATAACAACAACAAGAACAACAAAATCCAAACAACTAGTTTAAATGGGTATAAGAGTAAGTAGGTTCTTGGTAAGAAAGAAAATTGAGGTAGGGCAGTGTGATTTGTAATTTTAATGAACATACGATCTATTTAGAGATTATGTTAAACTTTTAGAGTCGTTCTGGGGTAGCACCTAAGAGTCTGCATTTCACAAAAATTACAGAGGAAGCTCGTACTGCTGGTCCTTGGACCACTATTTGAGTGGCAGGGGCTTATATGATGCCAGTCGCTTTGCTTTAGTGATGACAGAAAGATAAAATAATGTAACCTTACATAGTGGTCAGGAATGCTAGAACTGGGACTAAGGTCAGGCAAGCAATGTAATAAGGGGGAAAATTTTAAGAGGGAAAGTAGAGCAAAGGCTGAACTTGGACCCTGAGAGTGCCACCTAATTCAGTCCTCTGTGGTGTGTTTCTAGTCTGCTTCAAACCATTGAAGTTGAAAACTGAATTGGCCAGGTGTGGTGGCTCATACCTGTAATCCTAGCACTTTGGGAAGCCAAGGCAGGTGGATCACAAGGACAGGAGTTTAAGACCAGCCTGGCCAACATGATGAAACTCTGTCTCTTCTAAAGATACAAAAAATTACCCAGGCATGGTGGCATGCGCTTGTAATCCCAGCTACTCAGGAGGCTGAGGCAGGAGAATCACTTGAACCCGGGAGGTGGAGGTTGTGGTGAGCTGAGATTGTGCCACTGCACTCCAGCCTGGGCAACGAGGTGAGACTCCATTAGAAAAAAATAAAAATAGAAAAGAAAACTGAATTAACATAAAGCTAAAGAATATGCTACGACTTTGCTTTCACATTGCTTCTGATGGCATTGGCCACCATCAGGCCAAGGGGGATGTTTGCAATACAAGTAAAATTGTAGACTCTGCTGATAACAATCATAAAATAGCTCAAAATTATGTCATGCTTTAGCTAGCTTTACATTTTAAGCATATTATTGTTTTTGGGGTATGTGTTTATTTCCAGGATTTCTGAATATCTTTTTTTCTCTATGCTCTGTCCTTTTATGATATCTTCAGGTCTTTCCAAGCTAACAATTACACTGGACCGTCTGTCAAATCACTCCCACCATCAGTATCCCTCAGAAAATGTCCTGTAATTTTCGGTGCTATTTTTCCAAACTGGATGGAATATTGCTATAATAAGCTGTTTGATGAAATGTTTATTCATGTGGTCTAAATTGTATCTAAGTCCCAAAGCTACAGATAAAATATCCTGTCACTTATATTCTAAACAGAACCTAAGAATTATCAACTTTGGGGCCATACTCCTTCATGTCTGACCCCTAGATCTTGCAAGGAACCGGCAAACAACCCTCCATTTACAACACTAGCATCCCTCTTCCTCATTCCTCAATCTGCTTAAGAAGACTAGGGTAGGTAAAGGGGATGGCAGGCAGGCGTTTGAGTCACCTGACTTTTTGCTGCCATTGTGAAAAGTGTAATTTTCTGGATAAGTTGTTTCCTCTTCTTCTTCCATGAGACAAGGAAAAGGGACGTCTTCCAACATCTTCCAAGCCAAGTAATAGGAATGCCTAGAAAATAACATAAATATTTTAAATGCTTACGAGAAGAGATAGACACTTTCCTTCCCTGATAGATAAAATCCACAGAGCCTGCAGTAATACCTGAACATAGGAGATTATAAGAGAGATTCGTATCTGTAACATATTAGGCAGGTAATTATTACTTCAGTGAAAATCCCTTTCATGCATACACACTCTGCCTCATCAGTGAGTGGTCTCATCTGATCCTGAAAAGTGTTTGGCTTCTCTCATCAATCAAACTTTCTTTGTTTTATTCTCTCCTGTGCTCTCTCCTTTCTTCCCTCTTCCCACCCCCCACTCCTTCTTTTCCTTTCTTTCTTTCTCTTTCTTCCTTCCTTCCTTTCTCTCTTTCTTTCTTTCCTTCTTTCCTTTCTTTCTTCTCTCTCTCTCTCTCTCTCTTTCATTCAAGCTTTCTGCCCATAAACATTCTTTAACAGTCATTGCCATCTCAGGAAGAAGAAAGAGATTGGTGGATGTTCTCTGTTCCCCATTCTGAATGTCACATTTTCCCCTTAGTATTTGGTGGTGGTTCTGTCATCTGCTGTTTATTAATAGGACACAGTGTTTATGTGTCATTTACAAAAAGGCAGAGTAATCATAAGAAAGAGCATAGGCTTAGAAATTTAATGTACTTTGTTTAAATTCTGGCTCTGTCACTTATTGACTATATGATCTTGGGCAAATTTAACTATTTTCTTATCCTTGACTTGTGAATAATGACAGCAAGAATGACAATGGCAACGATAATGAAAAAGTCAATGACAATGATACTAGCATATTGTCTTGGTCATTGGTAGATATACTGAGTAATTAAAACACCTGGTTCAGCCATTAATTAATTTAATAAATTAATGTGTTCTGGTGCTGTTTTGGGCACTGAAAATTCTATAATGAGTGAGAGAACTATTATCTTTCTTTTTTTTTTGAGACGGAGTTTCGCTCTTGTTACCCAGGCTGGAGTGCAATGGCGCGATCTTGGCTCACTGCAAACTCCACCTCCTGGGTTCAGGCAATTCTCCTTCCTCAGCCTCCTGAGTAGCTGGGATTACAGGCACGCGCCACCATGCCCAGCTAATTTTTTGTATTTTTAGTAGAGATGGGGTTTCACCATGTTGACCAGGATGGTCTGGATCTCTTGACCTCATGATCCACCCGCATCGGCCTCCCAAAGTGCTGGGATTACAGGCGTGAGCCACCGCGCCCGGCTGAGAACTATTATCTTTCTTTCCTCATAGAGCTTATGGCCATCTAGTGCAAGGGTTGGAAAACTACAGCACACACTGGGGGCCCAAATCCTGCCTTGAGTCTATTTTGACATTGTCTTTGAGAGAAGATTGGCTTTCATTTGTAAAGTGTAGTAAACAAAAACAAATAAATGCAACATAAAAAACTCATTACGGCGCACAAAACCTAAAATATTTACTGTGTAACCTTTGGTAGAAAAGTTTGCCTGTTGATCCTCTAATGGTACACACAGGAAACATTCAGGAAAATGCTTTTCTCGTGCCAGCCAATTCTTGACCTAAAGTTCTTTGCATTGTTGTTTTGATTAATATCTGTATCCTTTCCATTCCCCGATAGGCTTCTCATTGCCCCTGCAATAAAAATCAAAATTTTCAGATATTTATAGACCCTGAATGGGTAACCCCTATGCCTTTCCAATCTCTTCTAATTATATTCTTACACTTCTGCATCACTGGACTTTTTTTATTTTCAACAAATATTGAACATGTACCACAGCCCAAGGTATTATAATTCTTTACCTCCCCTCCCCCCAAACTTTCAGCCCATTTACTTCCAACTTATCCTTCAGAATTCAGTTCTAAGGTAACTTCGTTTGCTAAAATGTCCTGACCTCTCCTTAACACATGTGTTCCACCCCCTAAATCTTTTAACTACTGATAATTGCGGTAATTTCATATTCTTTTTTGCAATAGTTTTCTTACTATCACCTCCATATGTTAGTGCCATGAGGACAAAGGCTATATCTCTTTTGTTTATTTATTTATCTCTAGCACCTAGCATCCTTACTTGATGCTCAATAAATATTAGGTAACTAAATGAAACAAAGAATGAATGATGCACTGTCATGTTTGTTGAAAAAAAAAAATAGGTCAGATAGCTTATAGGATTCTTTCAATGTGGAGTACCTAGTTCTCCCAGGGAAATATAACCCTAAGTGGAATTTTTGTGACTGCATCTTCATAATTCCTTCATTCTCCCTATATAATTAATGGGGGCCCAGAAAGCTGTTTGTGCGATACATTATCTGCACCACACAGCAAATGCATTTGTTATGGAGTTATCTGGGCCAAAGCTAATGAAACATTTGCAAATGTCCTGATTTACAAAGAGTAAATTGGTTCACCTGAATGACAAGGTTTATAAGCAAGAAAAATCTTCTTTGCCATTTTCTCACTATGTTCTGGTTTGCCTCAAAATCGCAAGGAAACATACCTCACCATTCCCCGGCTGAAGACAAAGGCCAGAGATCACCTTGGAGGAGAACAAAAGCTCTAAGGTCAACATTCCCTCGTGGCAATGACAATCCTCTCATGAGTCTTCAGATGCCTGAGAATTCTCTGAAATTGTAAAGAGAATGTTTCCTTGTATATATGTACATGCTCCTAAAGACCACATCAGATTTATCAGCTTCTCATTGGGGTCTGTGGCACCCTAGTTGTTGAGAACCAGTTCTTTAAGAAAATTCTGGGCTTCCTTATTCTTAAACGTATTTGTTATTTTTTTAAAAAAAGAAGATGAAGGCTGGGCGCAGTGGCTCACACCTGTAATCCCAGCACTTTGGGAGGCCCAGGCAGGTGGATCACGAGGTCAAGAGATCAAGACCATCCTGGCCAACATGGTGAAACCCCGTCTCTACTTAAAATACAAAAATTAGCAGGGCGTGGTGGCGTGTACCTGTAATCCCAGCTACTTGGGAGGTGGAGGCAGGAGAGTTGCTTGAACCCGGGAGGCGGAGGTTTCAGTGAGCCAGGATCAGGCCACTGCACTCCAGCATGATGTCTGGTGACAGAGCGAGACTCTGTCTCAGGAAAAAAAAAAAAAAAAAAAAAATGAAGATAAGGAGCAGAGGTGAATGTAAGTCCTGAAAGGAGCTTTCGTATTTCTGTTCCCAACCTTTCCTGACCCACTGTACAGATGAGAAAATTCAGATCAGTTGAAAAGCTGATTTGCCCAGGGTTCTACAGCAAGTGAAACACAAACCAGGGACTCAGATTCTGCCAGCCCACTGTCCTTTCTACTACACCCAGCTCTCCACCGATATGACAAATGTTTATTTCTGCTTTCATTCCTTTCCTCATTCACTCACCCAACTTTTTCCTTCTTCACGTATTCTCTTACCGTTCCACATTATCATTTTCTCAAGATTAATTTCTAATATTTATTATTTGTGACTAGATCATTTCTAAGAATAATTTTGGCTTCAATAAACAATTGTTCAATAAGGTGGTTAAATCAGAAAATAACATACAATAGAAGAACACATTTATCTTTTCCTTTCCCAATGCGTCTCTCAAGTGATAGTAAAGAAATAAAAAATCATATAAATCTGCAAGAACCAATAGCATGCAAGAAGTAAGGGCACTATGTAAGAGACTTCAACAAGTTTTAGGAATTGAAGATGGAAGATTCAACAGAGACAGAACTACAAAATAAGTGCCTGCAGAGGGAGACACTGTTGAAAGGCAAACCAATTCATCCTGAGAAGTCAATACATAACAACAGATATGTGAGGATGATAAAAATTGGGGGGCTGATTAAATGTCTTTGTATGAAGGAGTTGAACATCACCTTATCTCCTGAGTTCTTGTAAGCCACACAGCAGTGTGCCCAGAGACCAGAGGCAGAATGGATTAAATCTGAATGGCTCCAGAAAAAGACTTTCAAATATGGTTATTGTCATCAGCCATTGAAATTAGCAATTTCCTACGCTTTCACTTTAATAATAAAGCCCAGTCATAAACCCCTCCAATGTGCTCAAAGCTTCAAATTAGTTTTTTCCTACCTAGAAGGTAAAAAACAGGTAAAGGATCAACTGATAGTTTAGAGGCATCCAAAATGACTGGGAAAATTCTAAACCAATAAAAACAAAAGGAAAAGCTGGAAGAAAACAGATATGACAGGGAGTGAAATAAAACTTCTTAACCAAAGCTTATTAATAATGTAAGCCTAGAAGGTGTATCTGTATAAAGAGGATGACATAAAAGATAATAAAAACCAGAAAATAATTATTAAATTATATGTGTATATGTACATATATATGTACATATGCATACATTGACTGAAATTTTTAATGCAATAAAAAGTTACAAGACAAAGTTAAGAAAATATTCAGATAGTAGAAAATGGCAAAAAGTTAAAAAGAGTGTGGGACAGTTTTCAAGTACTTCCTGTAAGCTCTAAATGCATCCTTTATAGCCTTCTCTAAGACAAGGGAGGTGGGCCTTATGAATATTTCCCCTTTGCCAGTTGGCATGAAACTGGAGGAAAACTAGAGAATGAAGGGCCTTTTCTTCCAGGTTCTAGTTTGCTCTTCTCCCGAGATTCCTGTAGCACACCCAGCTTCTACAGCACCCAGCCCCTGTAGAGTGAGGTGGCCCAGTGGTCAGTAGTACAGGGGACCTCCCTCACTTCTCCAGAATGCTTTCATGTGGTTTTATGTTGTGTTTATAGGCATGGTACCTCTCTGTGGAAGGCTACACCATGGCACTACGGAGTACAGACTGTGGTAAGTCCTGCTGGCAAAGCACCTCTGTGAACTTCTCTACCACTCAGTGATCCATGGTCACGTCGTCTCCAGTGAAATGTAGATCCACCTGAGAAGTAAGGGAGAGATTTTTCCTTGATGTTCTATTATAACCCTAGGGATTGTGGCCCTACCTATATCTGCTATCTTTACCTTTTACCAGCTAATTCCTCATTACTGCAATATCATGTTTTAATTAATAATTCTTCATATTAGAAAAAATCTCATAAATAAGTCATACAGTTATGTTGGAAAGAAGTTCTAGGTGAATCATTTTGTATCAGACTCAGGGAACAGACTGTTGAAAATGGAGCAAAAGAACAAGATAAGATAGGTCTGACACATGGAATTAAAAAATAACGAAAAAACTATAGATGATTTGAAACAATCATTTAAGAGAAAAAAATGGGTGTGTGCTTAGTATATGTAATGATGTATTATGAAATGATGTGGCTGGGTGTGGTGGCTCACGCCTATAATCCCAGCATTTTGGGAGGCTGAAGTGGGAGGATCATTTGAGGTCAGGAGTTCAAGACCAGTCTGGCCAACATGGTGAAACCACATCTCTACTGAAAATACAAAAAAATACCTGGATATGGTGGTGGGTGCCTGTAATCCCAGCTAATCAGGAGTCTGAGGCAGGAGAATCGCTTGAACATGGAAGTGGAGGTTGCAGTGTGCCGAGATCGTGCCATTGTGCTCCAGTCTAGGTAACACAGTAAGATTCTGTCTAAAAAAAAAAATGATGTTAGCTTAGAGAATATTGTGAAAGTAAAGATAGGCAATTACTAACTTCACTAAAGTGCTCAAAAATATTTAAGGAAGAAAAAACAAATTTTATGTTCATTTATGTAAATATGACAATATGAACATATGTATTTTATTTTAAGTGAAACTTAATATAATTATGCTTACTTTATGGAAAGATGTTAAGTGTGGAGAGAAACATGCCCAAGGTCGATAAGTCACACAGTATTATCAGGCACATAAACTTTTAGAAGTATGCTGCTAAATACTAGAAAATAATGGCAGCATTGATTTTGAGAATGAGATTCCTTTTGAATATCAGGAATAAAGAATGCAGTATGGCAATACTCTTTTTCATTATAAACCATTCTGATCATTTTTTAAAACCATGGGGACGTATATATTTTGAAATCCAAAAAAATTTTTCATGGAGGAGATAAATGAGATAATGAATGGAAGGAATCAGCAAAGGGCTTAGCAGACCGTCATCATTCAATGAGTGGTGCTTGTGATATAGTGATTATTGAATAAATTAGTTTGGAGAAAAAAACCCACTATTTAGCATTAAATGTATATTTTACCTTCAAGGAAGGTGGTATAGAATAGGTAAAACTTGGTTTGACACAGTAAGCATACCCATTCCTGACATAATTTTTTTTCTGATACACATTAAATAGATGTTATCGCTTGGGTGTTTCACAAGGGTCAATGAACAGCACTTTAAATTATGTCTTAGACAAGGCTTTGACTGGAAAAAAAATCAATCTTCTGAGAGTATTTTTTTTTATACTCTAGCCTTGCATTAACAAACCAACCAACAAGGAACTCCCATCCCCACATCCATATAACAGCAGCAACAAGAATACTGCAGATATTGACATTAAAATCTTAATAGATACATGTATATTTTTAAAACCATAAAAGAATCAATTTATATGGATGCTCTCTAAATTAATAAGATTTTGACAGTCTAATTAATAAAAATTTAAAGATAGAATATTTGGAAGAAGAAATCAATAACAAGCTTTTTAACTAGCTTCTTCCCAGGAGTGAGGTCAGTTGAAAGGCTTTTGATATCACTTGCGATCAGGTAATTGGTGTCTTTCAACAATAGCCAGTGAGGAGCTGACCAGGTACTTCAAGCATATCCAGTAATTCAGAAACTGGCTTGTACAAAACTAGTGACCACAAGCTTTTAAAAGACATGACTAAAACCAATCACACATTTACATTTCAAACCTACCACTGTATCTAAAGTCACACTGATGTAATGTGACCACATTGCATCAACCTGTTTCAATGTAAGGCTGACAGGCCATATTTTGGAAACACGAGAAACGTATCATTATTAAGTGGTAGTTGCAATGGAACTTATCTAGGGAATTCTGCTCAACACCTCTAAAGCAATTAGAATTAATGAAATTCTCTTAATGAAATTCTCTGAGTCAGAATGATAAATATAGCCTATGCACAGATATACATATAAATATAGCATATGCACACAAATATACATATATGTATACATTATATATGTATTTTACATGCATATTATTTGTTACTTTATATATTATGTATGTAATTTATATATACTTAAACCTGTGTGTTTATATGTATCTCATGTATATACATGCCATTTCTCTGGCTCTCTCATACAAATATTCATATGCTATAAATATCTCATATATATGAGAGAGAGAGCAACATTAAACTCACATATTGTTAGCAATGTGGAAGTATTAACTGAACTCCAACCAATATTTATGGATATGAGATAGTAGGATATTGTGATAGGCTTCATATTCATGCCAAGAATGAACACTAAAATGTGTGTTCTGATAATCCGACCTCAGGATGAATGTGATATAAACCCTGTCCTAAATACCAGAAAGTTTTATTTATCTCTCATATTCAGCCACAGTTACCTTCACCAAACTCAGTTGCATCTTTACTTTTCTGATTTCAGTTTTCTCATGAAAATAGAATTAGAAAATAATACCAACTGATCTCACAATATTGTCTTGGAATTCACACAAGATAATGGTACAAAATACTGTGCAGATTTGAAGTAGTGAAACAGCTATATAAAAATAGCTGTATATGAAGTTCAAATTTTGAATAAACATGAGAGTTTGCTGGCTCATGTGACTGGGAAATACAAAGATAGAACGACCTCAGCGAGCTCTAGACACTTAAAACTTATCCGGAACTTGTTTATTCTTTATCACAGTTACCCGCTTCACCTTATGGTTTGATTTTATTTTCTTATATCATGAAGTAGCTTTCCATACAATGGGTAGAGTGGTGGGTCAAGCAGCACGTATCTCCCAGTTTGTGTTAAGTGATTTTGGTAATCCAGAGAAAAGAAAGATATCCTATTAGTATCTGCTTGTAAATTTCCAGGGAAGGACCTTGGAAAGGACCTTATTGGATCACCTTGGGTCACATGCCCAAATTTGAGTGGAGGGGTTTACAGTGGCCACGAGAATGCCAGGAACACCATTAAATGATGGAAACTTAGCTCTTCAAAATAAATGTGTGCTCTTACAAGGTGAAGGGGCAAAAAAAAAAAAAAAAAGAATGCTGGCAGAAAATACCAGATGTCCAACACCACGCCCTCTATCTTTCTCTGCTTATGTTTCCAATGCATTTCTCTGTCCCAGCCCTTATCATAATAGAATGAGATTGTTTCTTTATTGTGCACATTGCAGACGTGTGTCTGGTTTACCCTTGAAACCCCAGCACATATCACAGGACCCAGCATAGATTAGTTGGTCAAGAAATACAGACTGAAGGAATTGATTAAATAATTATTCTGGGAAAACTTCAGAGGATTCTGCCATCCCAGTTCTTGTATGTATGTGGAAAATCAACTCCTGTATGCCTATATGCCTACATTCTCCTGAGCTCAAATATGCTCCTTGAGAATGCTTCTCTATAATTTATTAAATATTCACTTGATACTGATTAGGAGTAAAGCCCTATGCAAAGTTTTTCAGATGATTCAGAGTAGGGAATTTAGGATTACTTCTCGGTTTTCTAAATGATAAATGAGAAGCTCTACCTTCAGGAAGCTTACAGCCTGATTGGCAAATCATGGCATCTGACCTAAAATTGGTAATTCTCAAAACTGCATGAAAAAATGCTGAAATAATCCACTCATATGATATATGACATTGAGGTTCAGAGGTAAGATAAATGAAGACCAACTAGAAATAATAGAAAAACTAAACAACCTTAAGAGAAAACAAGGTTCTGGTGGAGGCAAGCAGAAAGGAAGAATTACATCTGGGAGTCTACTCTGATTCAGGCACTATGCCCAGCATCCTATAACCACTATCTTGGGAGAGCTTCCCAGCCCCAGGAGAGGGATGTTTCTATCTCTACTTGGCAAGGTAGAAAACTAAGGCTCAGGGAGGTTAAGTAAATCAGTGAGACAATGTTAAGAATACAAGGGTTATAACCATAGATTGATGTTTTCAATGCTCTTGTGCTTTCTTTCATGGTGTGATTAATCATACATACAACACATGAGTCAGTGTAAAAGCTCTGTAAAGATGACCAATCAGAAGATATAATAGACAGATAATTTATAGCTACTTGGATACAGATAATTATAAAAATATTAACAGGTAATGGGAATTGATTATAGGTGATAGATTATAAAGATGAATGGGAAATGAAGACACATAAATATACAATTGAGTTAGGTTGATAGGTACATTCATATATATTCACACAGAGACACCATCAACCCTACCTTGTGAAAAGTCAATTTGGCCGGATATAATGTGCTCTGGTGCGAAGATAATCGGGCAATTATAAGGAAGTCGTGATCTGCTCCTACCTCTCCCACTGTCTCTGTGGTCCTGTGTCCTTGTCCTTTCTCATCCTCAGTTTCATCATCTGTAAAACGAGAACAATAAATAGAGCCCAGCCTACTATCACAGGATAGCTCTGAGAATTCTAGAAGGTAATTGTAGGGGAAGCACCTTGGAAAGTATAACATGCTCTGTTGCCCCTGTGTGTTTGACCTGGATGTTTTGCAACTTCTTTTGAAAAGAAAGCCAGCCCCATATTTAGGTCAGGAAATGGGTTATTTTTTGAGATGATGCTTGAGCTTGGCTACAGCCTGCCTGCCACTAGAAGCATGTTTTATCAGGTCCTACATTGCATCTATCTTGCAGCTTAGCTCATATCATCAAAAACCACATTGGTGCCCTCCATGTCAGCAAATG